ACAGCTAGTCTGGGGCTGTCAGATCCAGAACAGCTTAACTCCAAACCCTTTGCTCCTCCTACTGTAATAAACTGCAGTAGGCCTTGGCTGGAGTCTTACCTAAGTGGGCTCTTCTCAGGAGTAACTCCTACCTACAGAGTGTACACAGGAGGGTAGGGCTTGGATGGAAAGTTCTGATGAGGGAAGTCCTGGGGACTGAAGTAGAGCAAATTTTATCCCATGCAGATATGATTGTGCCAAAACAATCCCCCAAATTATGTGTAACTATAAATGCACTAATAAAAACAAAACAATTATTCTGACAAGGGATGAGGATGAGAGGTACGCAACATGATCAGGGTGGGCTTTTGTCAATAGATAGATTTAAACCTGAAGGTTTTTTGTTTTGTTTTTTTCCCTTGTTGGTCACAGTCCTTTACCAGACATGTGTGGTACAACTGTTTCCACCCATTCTCCAGCTTGTCTTTCAGATTTTTCACAGTGTATTTTAAGATCAAAGATTTACATTTCAAAGCCAAATTTGTCAATTTTTTTTTTCTTTTATGCCTTGTGCTTTTTGTGTCCTAAGAAATGTCACCTGAGATCACACACAAAATTTCACCCRTTTTTAATCTAAAAATCAATGGTTTGTCTGTCTTGATGTGATCAGGTTACTTTGTACTTATTGATTCAATGGCTACRAAGACTTCACATAAATAAATCCGGTGGAAGTGCTCATTGTACTTTTGAGATAATGTTCAGTCTTCCCTTTCTTCGGCTATCTTGTGTCTATACTGCCCCCTCTGTCCACAGAGCCTGCTGGAGCCCACGGTTTTCCTTTGCAGTCCTCCCATACTCCAGTAGAGGGTGCTAAATTATAGTTCGGCAGCTACTGTGGTCCAGCAGCTAATTATGACTGCTCCTGTGACTTCCATAGAGGACAATAATGTTTGKCCTCATTCCAAACTCTTCTCATATCTTAACTAATTTAATGCACAAATCCCTGAGAAAAGAAGACAAATATCGAGAAATGAAGCTCTAGGTCACACAACCAGTTTGGGGATGTCAGACAGATCCAGACAGATCCTCTGTTCTTCCTACTGTAATTCACTCCCATGGGTTGAGATGGGACTCTTACRTAACTGGACCCGTCTCATGAAATAACAACTACCTGAATTTTCTCTTTCTCACATCAGGTGCTTCTCCAGTTTTAGTTTAGACTCCCAAGTCTCAGGTCTTGTAGTGGAAACCTAGGATAGAATTTCTCAAAGGACTCTTGGCTATTTGGGGAAAAAATCACGCTGACCCACTCTCAGCCCATGTATGTCAGCAAAGTCCCAGAAAAGGGCTGTGGACTTTGTACACAATACAAGAATACACGGCTAAGAGGGCAAATGGTGGCTAAAATCCAGTCTGCTTTGSTCCTATGAGCCCATGGGTTTGTTTTTTCCCATGAAAATAAGGAGTGATCTCTTCTCAATTTCTACCAAGTCATCATGTGGGCTAGGAGTGGTCCTCTCTTTCCAGGTAAGCCGAGTAAATTCCTGAGCTGTAGAGGAGTTACATGTGGTATAACTTGGCCAACTTAATCATCACATTCTATCYTCCTGGCTGTGGTGATTGGTTGGGGGAATGACACATAACTCAGGTCAGGCTATTCCTGGCTAATGAGACTTCATTTGGAGGCTTTTGTGTGAGGGACGAGGACCTCTCTTCTGGTAGAGATGAGTGCTGGAGCTGCTATAGCCATCTTGCAACTAGATGGAGCCTGATAATGAAGCTAATTCCCAGCAAAAATGACCAAAAAATGAACAGAGAAAACCTTAACCTTGAACTTGACAGCATTATGTTAAGAAAAAGTAGCCAGACGAACTCTRGATAGGGCAAAGGGGTGGGAGGGGAAGGAAGGAGGCATGGGAGTAAAAAAGATGGTAGAATGAGATGGACAGCATTACTCTAAGCACATGTATGAAGACATGAATGGTGTGAATATACTTTGTATACAACCAGAGATATGAAAATTTGTGTTCTGTATATTAATATGAATTGTAACGCATTCTATGTGGAAGCTAGAGAGAACAAAGAGGGAAGAGGGTATGAAGGAATCTTTTGAAAACAGAAGGAAAACTAGTTGAATAGAGGAAAGAGACCAGGGAAGGGAGGAGGTGAGGGAAAGGAGAGGTACTGGGGAATGGAACTGGCCAAATTATGTTATGTGCATGTAAAATATGTCACAATGCATCCCACTATTATGTATAATTATAATGAACCAGGACAAAAAACATTTAAGAGATGTAATTTCCAATGCTCCTGTGGTTCAAAGCTATATATACATCTGCTATTTTGTGAAACCTCAGCACATTTTCAGACTACTTGAATCTGTTTTTTTCTGTTTACAATCCTAATTAGCCCCCCCTCCAAAAAAAAAATTTACTTTCTTTGAAAAACAAAAAAACAAAACCTATCCTGGTGATATTATTGAGCCATTGGTCAAGTTATACCTGAATCTCCCATTTGTTTATAAGAATGTGAAATAGCATAAACCAATAAATTCTCTTCTCATTGGTTGTCATAAGCTAGTCCATACATACCCCAGCACATTTCTATTTCTTGCACCCTGTCTTGGCCTTATATTTTCACTACAGAACCTTCCATCTTCTCATACTGTATTTTTTTTATTTAGTTTAGTACTTGTCTGCTTCTATTCCCCACTCCTGCTGAAATGCATGCTCCACGTTTTGTTTGTTCAGTGATGTTTGTTCAGTGCTGGATTCTCAGCCCCCAAAACGAGTTCTTGTACACAATTTGTATTAAATAAAGTTTTGCTGAATGATGTAACTACTCAGTGAATCACTAAGGATAACTGAAATTTCATATGCATACGTGAAAATCATCACAGTTCTACAGTTAACCATGGGCTAGCCTAGTGCTCTTTCTCTTTCTCTTTTTTTGTGGTACTAGGGATTGAACCCAGGGCCTCACATATTCTAGGCAAGTGTTCTACCACTGAGCTATACCTCCAGCCCAAGCCTCCTTGTAGTAAGAAAGGTGACTACTTGTCAGTTCTTAGCAGTGTCATGAGGATCCCAATGTATACATGCAGATCTTTGGCATTTCAGCAATTCCAGGGAGAGTACTGTATTATTATTACATCACCAAGACTGTTAAGGTGGCCATGCTTTTCAATTGGAATTACTTTAAAATATTTTTTTCAATTTTATTTTATTAGCTTTTTTTTGGGTTTTGAGTTTTCATTGGTGTAAAATGTATTTTAAATATTTTTAGTATATTTACMGAATGACAGATTTTACTTTATTTTGATGTATCTACTGTTTATTATTTTTTGGCTTTTCATGTTGCTCATCCTTACTTTTACTATCATGAGGCATTATTCCTCCTGGAAATGTAAATAAATTAAGAAGGGAAGGTGGGCCATATTTTCTTTTATCTCTTGGTATGTGTCTTAGAAAAAAAATGAGACCTACTTTGAGGGGATATTTTCACCCATATTTCCTTGACATATTTGGCATTTAACTCGGCAGGCTTCTCTGGCTCACATCAGTCTGGCAATCTGAATTTATCTATTTTCTTTATCCAAGAATCTGGTACTTTTCTTTCCCCAGCGGCAAMCTACTTGGGACCTTTTAAGAACTGGTAGTTGCTATTTTGCTAAAACTAACTCTATTCTTCCAAAGGATGACCCTTTGCCACCTGCCTATCATCTCATCTGAAATCTCACTATTAACAGATTTATCTTTTATATGGACAATCCTTTCTAATGCTTCAGAGGAATAATTCATTTCTTTTGATGTTTTCTTCTTTGACAAGGAAGAGTATGGTCCTTTCTTCCCTGAATCCTTCTTTCAGCCAGCACTCAGCAGGTGGTCTTGGACTGCTGAGGTGATAAGGAGTGTTTTCAAATTAGGGTAGCAGAGTCTGCATGTTTACTGGCTGCCGTGCCAATAGAGGAAGCAGCTGCCTTCTCTCAGCCTGACTGCAAGGTGGGGCTCTAAGACCTTCCCATTGCTTTTGCCTCTAAGAAATATGAATGTGATCCTGCCAAAGAAAAACTTTCTATAATCAAGTCCTTTTTATTTCTTCTTAGAGTGCTATGCTGATTTATGATCTAGGGGACGTAGTCTGTTCGAGGGTACAATTATTTCCTCATAATTGAAGTAACCATACAACAATTTCAACTGTCAAAGCAAAAGAGAATTGAGAAAGGCCATGTAGGTGACTCCTAGGCCCACTAGGCTGCACTATCTGTGATTGTCTTCCCAGCTCCCAGATCTGAAGTACGCATAATCCAACGACCCCCCACCACCACCACCACTCATCCCTGTTCTGAGGTTGGCAGGCATGTCACCTCCTTTTCTCCCCTATTCCAGCCAGGGCTACTGCCGAGCAGGTGAGAGGCAGAGACTCAAAGGAGAAAAATGAAGACATGCTTAGGAGTATTTCTGAGTCTGATATTACCTTTCCACTCACTGGATTGGAACACAGAAGCCTCCTACGTATGTAACTATTTATTAAAAGAATTCATAGCCCAGCTCAGTCTACTAGGGACTCTAGTGATGAATGTTTCCACGGTAAAAGGAAGAATAGGCGGACGGCTGATGGAGTGGGCATGAGCTATGGAGAGGTTGGAGAAGCTGAAGTGGGTAGAAGCTCCTTCTTATGTTTCTGCTGTCTTTGAATCTTTACACTTACAGCCAAAGACCTAGCTGTTTCCTCAGTTGGGGATGCACACTCCTAGCCTGCTTGAGACAATCAGAGAGAGGGGAGGAGGAAAAAAGAGTAAAATGGAAAGAGATTGTGGGGTGAGCATTTAGTGCTAGAAGCCACTGGCATACCAATCCTGAGATCTCTGTCTCTAGGCCTAATAAAATCCGTGCACCAGAGACCTTATCCACCTTAGTGGCTATGTCTACTGTCTGAGACAATGATCAGATTTAGACAGCYGGGCAGAGAAGGAAGAGCAAGAAGTTTGTGCAAGGGCTGGCAGAATCTTGATTCTTGCTCTATGGTCGGTACTTGCACAAGAAGTGTTGGCGCTTGCTGCATTCATTTTTGTTCCAAGTTACAAAGTCTGTAAGAGAATAAACAGACATTTAAATCAATCATCAATCCAGCTCAGTACAGAGCTTTCCCATGTTGTCTTGTTGTTTTGCTTTTAGTCATGGGGAAAGCCCAGTGATGGCTATTTCTCTGTTTTTGTATTTTGGGTACCAGAGCACTTAACCAAACAGCCACATCCCCAGCCCCTTTTTTTTTTTCATTTTATTTATAGACAGGGTTTCATTAAGTTGCTGAGACTAGCTTTGAACTTGTGATCTTCCTGCCTCAGCCCCCCAAGCCACTGGGATTACAGGCATGAGCCACTGCACCTGGCTAATTATGTCTATTTTATGTATCAACTTGGCCGGGCCATGAGGTCCAGTTTTTTTGGTCCAGATATCTAGCAGTCTAGATGCTGTGGTGACAGTATTTTTTTTTTTTTTTTAGTTATGACGGACATTTAAATTAGTAGACTTTGAGTAAAGCAAGTTACCCTCCATAATGTGGGTGAACCTTGTCTAATAARTTGAAGGTTTTAAGAGGAAAGACTAAGGTCCCCTAAAGCAAAAGGAATTCTGCCTCTGGACTGTCATTAGGCTTGAGAATGAAGCGTTGACTCTTGCAGGAATTTTCAGTCTGCCAACCTGCCCTGCATGCTTCAGACTGACCGGTCCTCACAATTTCATGTGCCACTTCCTTTAAATAAATCTCTCTATATACATACATCCTCCTTTTATTTGTATGTATATAGAGAKATTTATTTAAAGGAAGTGGAGAGATCCCTTACTAATGCAAATACTAACAGAAAGAAGAACCATTTAAAGGTTACACGCACTTGCAAAAGCTCCCTTCCATCCTGTTTTGGAGGAAGGAAAGGCTTGACATGGATCTACTGAAAATGTCTCATGTTTGACAAAGGGTACAGTGAGGACTTGGGGGTGCTCCTTCGTAAAGTCCATAGTTGATCTCTAAGAAGCTTCTTCTCAAAGAACTGGAAGCTGCTGACGCCAGTCACATCCCAYCAGGCTACCCATTTATAAAGATGGATGGAGCCAGGAGCGGGTAGCCTTTTGAAGGACTTGAGATGTTTTTGAGGAGAGGCTCAACTATTTCACTGCCCCCAAATCAAACTCTTCAGAGTCCCCTGTCATTCCAGGGTGTTCTGCTACAGAGTGATGCATCTTTCCCTAATTTGGTGTCTGCTTGGGCTTTGGCCAGCAGACATGATCTTGTTGGCAGTGTGTATTTCTTGGGTTCGAGAAAGCCTAGGAGGGAGGGATGTTGCTCCATTCCCTCTCCCATTCCAAGATCTCAGGAAGCACAGAGAAGGGGCTGCCCATGTTTGCATCCATGTAGCCCAAAGTTGGAGACACATAGTGTAAATGCAATGGGGATGGCAGGCTTATTGGGCATTTTCACAGTGCAGGGCAAAAAAATGGTGCATGAGGTCACTAGCATGGAATTTACCCCAAGGGGGTCTGGTTGAGTCTGGTTTGGAGCATAAATGCTTTGGGTGCTGTTTGAGATGGAGGGTGTTCTTACTGGGTCCTTTTGAGTTGACACCCACAGATTCCATCAATAAACTGTAACTGAAGCTTCAAGCAACCAAGAACAGCCAGCTCACCCCAGGTACCCACCTAGAGAGATATCTGTTTTCTCTTTCCTCTTCCCTTCTCCATTATGGGAGGGGAAGTGCAAGGAAGGGGAAGTAAAGATCAAACTCCTCCACTTTGGGGCACAGGAGTCATGAGCCCAGCCTGCACTGCAGTGGAAGCACTTCACATGTTGGTGAAGTTGTTGTTTCCTTCAGGCATCTGAGGTACAAAGGAATGGGAAGAGCTGGAATTCTACCTGGGCACTCAGAATACAGAACTCCTGCTCTTGACCACAAACCAGATTGAATGTGAAATTTCTTAATAAACTGCAAAATGTAGTTACCATTATTAAATGTCTCAAAGTGAACCAAAGATAAGTCAGGAAACACAACACCACCAGGGAGTCACGAGACAGTTACACTGTGGTATAAAGCAGAAGGTCCCAGAGGATGACCAAAGGACACACAGAATAAAATTTCCTATTTTTTCTGTTTTTTTTTTTTTTCTAAATAGAAATCAGAAAAAGGAATGAGCCTTGTCASTGAGAGAGGAGAATGTGTATGTCACTATGAGTTGGGAGATTAATATTACACACTTTGAATTTTAAAATTAAAAAGTAGAAAGGGAATCTGGGGGCAAAARTCCATTTTCTACATAGGAAATGACACTGATGGGGTTGAAGACCATGTCCTTTCCAATTCTACCTTCCGCCTGGTTTTCACTYAGCCTTGGTTCCTTGCTTGTGGTTTCTTTCTGGGAGCCTGTTCTCTAAGAGTCAAGTTGAGGTAAGTAAATACAGGGAAAGAAGGGGATGCAACAGACCAGATGCTCCAGAGAAACTGAGGGTCTTGGTTCCCAGCATTATCATACAGGTGACATCACTATGGATTTTTTTTTTTTTTTTTTTTTTTTTTTTGCTCATCTGATCAAGGGCTGTCAGGGAAAAGACTTTTTTGTTTGAGAACTTTGACTAGTGGAAACCTCAGAAACTTGAGTCTGCGAGGGACTCTGGGAGGCATCTGGTATACCACTTCCCCAAAGCCGGTCCATCTTCCAGAGTCTTATGTTGTAGATCTGAAATGAGTACCTGGAATTCATAGTTTAACATGCTCCTCAGTGGATCTTTTGTGTGTCATTAAGCTTCTCGYCAAACACTCTGAATGTTTCAACTACAATGAAAACTATAACATCCACCTTTTGCTTAGTTGGCTCTAGCAATGGGTTTATCGCAACTTCCTGGGCGAGCCTGTGGTGTGTTTGGATGGTGCTGAAAGCTCTGCTTTYTCCTTCATATGGGTAGGCATCCACATTTTGGTAGCTTCTGCTGATGGGTCCTGACTGTGTTTCTTTCAGCTGAGCTGACGGATGCCTTGTACAGCAGTATGGACTCTGATGGTCAGTGAAAAATCCCCTCTCCAGCTTTCTGTCTCTAAGGGTCTTCCTCAAGTCTTTCTCTTAATGTCCACCCTCCCCCCTTTGCTATTAGAAAGTTCCCTCACTCTTTTGTTGTTGTTGTTCTTATGAGCTTTATCCCTCAATTAGTAGTAAACCAAAGCACCTGGTCCCTTTTCTACCCTAGACCCAGTTGCTGAGTACTTGACCCAGTCCCTGCACCAGTCCACTTTTTGGCTAAGAGAGGGGTCTGGTGTCACTTATGGTGGTCTTTTAGACTCACAAAGATGTTCTCAAATATACATATTCTTTCACCTTTAAAACTCTGTGTTCTTATTTTGCCACTGAAAACTTCCATTCACTTACTGGCTGTGGTTCTCAATGCCCAGTGAATCTGACCCCAGAGAACACACTTAGCAATGTCTGGAGAGATTTTTTGGTAGGCACATCCTGGGAAGGAGAGTGGTGTTTATGGGATCTATGGACTAGAGAGACCAGGGATGCTGCTAAACCTCCCAGATTATACAGGATAGCCCCCCCCCCAACAATGAATTTCCATTCCACATCATTGGTCCTTGGTATCAAGGTTGGAAAATATAATTTAGTATCATAAAGAGAGAAGAATGAAAGCAAGCAAAGGCAAGCCTGAACCCCAAGTGACTGAGTGTATGCAGTTTGCAGCTGAGATTCAGCCTGGATTTACCAWAGCGGGACATGTGTCCTCTTCAGSGTATACAGTATGATTTTAWAATAAATATATTTAAGAAAATATGTAAGAGTGGATCTAAAGAAAATACAGAGTAAATTGTTGAACGGCTTGTATATTGACATGGCAAAGACTGTTCAGTGGTCACAGACGACTGAAGTTTGGTAAGCATTTGCTTTGGCAATGCCATTGTCCTGTAGGAGAAAATTGTTGGTGTGACAGGGAAAATGTCCATCTTTGCTCTCAACAGATCAAGRAAAGGAGCCGTGCTTTGGGAAGAGGTACAGAATGCAGGTGCACTTACTGCTCCTGTAGCCCATCTCRGTGCAGTGCTTGTTCCCACCCAGGGACCTTCCGCTCCAGGGTCTGTACAGGTATGAGGCCCCATCAATCCACTGCCACTGCTGCTTCTGCAATGACAGGAGACAGAAGTTAGCCAGCCTACCTTCCCAAGCCCGAACCCCTGTAGGCTTTTTTAAAGTAGTTTTCACTGTAAAAACTGGGAAGTACAGGAATATGTAAAGAATGAAAAATAGAAAAGTTATTGCCCTCAAACACTGAGAGGAGAAAATTGCTGCTATTTCAGCAAACTTACTTCTGAAGTGAATATTTTCATGGATCATTGCATTTCTCTGTTTACTCATAAAGAAATAATATTTGTATATACTTATAATGTGATAATCAAATACATACATATATAATGGGTAATAATCAGTTAGGGTAAAGGCACTTCCATCTCTTCAAATATTAATCATCTCTATGTGTTCAGAATGTTGATAATCTTTATTTTGAAATAAATATATCTTTATTTTGATATCTTTATTTTGAAATATGTCAGGGATTGCTGTAGACAACAATCGCCCTATTGTACTATGGAAAGACAGAAAAAAATTCCTCTAATTTTCAATCATTTCCCTCTCCTGGAGGGCAGGAAGACGTGCTTTTTCCTGTCTCTAGTGACCACTGTTCCACTCCATTCTTCACAGTTTCTACAGAGGAGTGAGAAGATGTGGCATTTTTCTGTGTCTGTCTTATTTCACTTAACCTAGCAATCTCCAGTTCCAATTATGTTGCTGCACACRGAAGGATTTTATTTTCTTATGGATRAATAAAATTCTATTGTATACAGGGCCACATTTTCCTTATCTATTGATCCTTAGGTTGATTCCATAACTTGACTGTTATGAATAGTGCTGCAATAAACTTGAGAGTACAGGTATCTCCTTGACATAATAGTTTCTTTTCCTTTGGCTAAATACCCAATAGTGGGATTTCTGGGCCCTATCATAACTCAATTTTTAATTGCAAAGGAACCCCCATACTGTTTTCCATAATGGCTGTACTAATTTGTATTCCCATCAACAGTGTTCCAGGGTTCCCTCTTCCCCCAGATCCTAACCGCCTTTATTATTGGTTCTATTTGATAATGTCCATTCTCACCCAGGTGAGGTGACAGGTGGTTTTGATTTGCATTTCCCTGATGATTTGTGATGTTGAACATTTTCCAGCACTCATCGATCATTTGCATGTCTTCTTTTGAAAAACATCTATTCAGATTTTTAGCCCATTTTTTAATTAGATTTTTTTTGTTAAGTTTGTTGAGTTCCTCATATTCTGGATATTAATCCCTTGTCAGATGAATAGTTTGTAAATATGTCCTCCCATTCTGCAGGCTGTCTCTTCATTCTGTTGATGTTTCTTTTGCTACAGGGAAGCTTCTTAGTTTGATGATTATTTAACTATTATAAATTTTATATTTTTATCTATTCACAATTACTATTAAACAGAACTTTACTCTTCAGAGATTATTTCTCTATTTTTGCCTTTGCTTTTTTGTGTCCTATCAAAAAAAAAAAACAACTTTTCCCATATMATTGTTTTGAAGTATTTTCCCCATGTTGTAAACATATATTCAATAAATTAAAATATATATTCAATTTATAACTTGCTTTCCAAATATTTTTAATGGCAAAAATGTACAATAATTTCCCTTTATTTTCTTCTATTGACATTTATATTATTTCCAAATTAAATTATTATAAAGAATACTGCTCTAAATACTTCATGAATAGTTCATAAAGCTGTTTCATATTTTATGAAAATATGATAGAATTTCAGAAGTAGAATTAATGGGTTAAAGGGTATGAATATTTTGAGATTATTGATATGAATTGCCAAAGTATGTTTCAAAATAGTTCAGTTGTAGAAGTTACATGCTTACAAACTGGGCATAAGAACAATTTCTCAATATACTTCAAAATATTCATCAAGACAAAGCAAAAATTAGACAATCTAACAAGTCAAATTATATTATCTTAATTTACATCATTTGACTACAAGAGACATTACTCAATTTTTAAAATGTTTATTTGTCACTTATTTTTCTTGGTCACAAATATAAAACACTAAATTACAAAGCTCTTCTAGAAATATATGTAAATATTTATCCTATCTCTGAAGAGCAGAATTCTACTTAACAGCAATTATGAATAGATAAAAACATAAAATTTATGATAATCAAAGAWACATCATTAAAGGATGAGTAACTGTATAAAATATTTGTAGCAACTATGACCAAAGGTTACTGGTTTTCTCAGACTATTCAAGAGGAGAAAAAACAGGAAGATATTTATGGTGCATTCTTAAGGATAAATATGCSTTCACGACAAATGTGATATGAATGTCTGGTATCTCTTGCAATGTGATCAAGAAACAAAGTTTTGGGGTTTTCTCCTGTGTCCCTATGAGTTAAGAACCAAAGCTCCACAAAATATCTATAAACTGCAGACCTCAGCAACCTTTCGGAGACCTCACACGGCATGTCTTACAATGAAGTATTGATGGAAAGTACAGCCAGAGTTCAGTGGGAAAAAACTCAAGGATAATGAAAAGAAATAACAGCATTTGAGAAAAAGATAAGCAAAGAGTTTTCAATTTCCATTCAAGATCTAATGAAGATGTAATAAACCTGAGTTTCATGACAAGTCTCCCTGCACACACACTCACACATACACACACACACACACACACACACAGATGCACACATACTGCACACACACTCACACATACACACACACACACACAGATGCACACATACTGACACCAACCTAATTTCTTTTTTGAAAGGGTCTAGAAAGCTGGTAATTTCACATTTTCAGATTCAAGAGGACCTTAATTATCTAGAAGTTTGTAAAATGGTTCTATTTAAATTATATCCTCCACTGTAGGCCAGATCTGGGTTCCTGACCCTGATGTCTTGGCTTTTATCGGTTAGAGGCACCTGACAGAAGAGCCACTACCTGTGCCCCTATTAGTGGGCCACGAGGCCATTTCCCAGAAAGGGGCTACCTTCCTGGCTTTTTCAAAAGGCATCTGTGAGCCATGTCTGGGGTTACCTTCTGTGGGTCATGCAGGCCAATCCATACAGGCTGGGTTCTTTGATAGCCACTTATGTACTCTGCTATGACGCTGGCTTCCTTTAGATTCAGGATAGATGCCAAGTGGGCTCCGTTTCCATAAGACTGACACTCAAGCTGCACACAAGGAGAGGTCCCATTAATGATGCCTTGACGTTCCCTTAGTGTGCCAAGCAGAAGGGACTCACATAGCCCCCTCTTACTCCTCCAGCAACTAAGACCTAAATCCCACAGGAGACTCCTGTCACCACGGGAAAAAACAATGCCACAGAGTCAGGTCTGTGAGGAACAGGCAGCGCAAGGTGAAGGCAAGAGATTTAGGGTCAGAGGAAGTGCCTGATGACCTGGTCTTGCCTGGTCTTGCCTTTTGTTGGTGCTTGTGACCTTGTGACCTTGACAAGTTACTTCACCTCTCTGAGGTTCAGTTTCCTCAAAATTGCAGTTTGGGAAATTCCTTTGCTTAATGCTCTCTCACACACTCTTTCTCTCCCTCCTTCCCTCCATTGCACGCGTGTGCACACACACACACACACACACACACACACTCTCTCTCTCTCTGGTTATTCAGGACTCAGCTCAGGAAAGCACTGCATTACTGCAGACTTCCCTGGGTTTTCCCTATTAGTCATTTTTGGTATAATCTTAGAAAAATCGTCTATGCTCATGCTGTGTTGGCATTTTCTGTTCAAATGTCACAATCCTCACTCATCCTGTACTTTTTAAAGCCATAGATTATTTTTGGAGTCCTCAGTAGCTATCACGTGGTAGGCGCTCCACCCTTGCTTTATTTCTTTTAAGTTATGTGCAGGGGCTCCGAGACCAGATCATGCCACATCATACCCCCATGGCCTCCCCAGCCAGTTGCTTCAATAAACCACATTCAGAGGCAACAGTGAATCTCCACTTACTGGGACTGGTTATTTGGGGATGCTGCACACAAAGTCTCAATGAAACAACATCAGTACATTTTGGGGTTGTGTAGAGCAATGAAACCTCCCATTTATTGGGATTACTTCCATTTCTTTAGGCAGTTCCAAGGCCTCTGTTCCATGCCTTTCTACATATTACTCTCTTTCTGGTAAACCTCACTCAAGAATTCAATTAATTTTTCCTGAAAGCTGCTGGTCTTTTCATTCTCCTTTGTTCTATGTTGAGGTCAGGGGCTGTTTCCTATTCATTCTTGTGTCCTTGCAGCCCATCCAGGGCCTGAGCATATCCTATCTGCTTTATCAGTGCTTACAATATGGAATGAGTTGAACACCGCAACCCTCTTCTCTATATTTCACCATCCAGGTGGCTTCTCCTCAAAATGCCCAGGGGGATCTCTTCCTCATTCTGAATCAAATGAGATCTGGGGCTCTGGACGGCCCCTTGCTTGAGAGAAGCCAAATGGTCAAATCCCTTACCTCAGCATCAGACCAGTTTCTCAGCTTCCGGAAGTATCCATAGCAATTGGACCTGTAGTAAAACCATCCTGTAGCACAGCTGGGTCTCATGATGATATCTGTTCAAAAACAAAAGTAAGAAACATTTAAAGTCATGACAGCAAAAACAATCAAGCCCAGCCTTGATGCAGCTTATAGATTGAGAATCCTTTGAATGAGAAGATAAAAGAGTCCTTTCTTCAGAAGGACCCTGCTGCATTGCTAAAAATGTACACTGTTAAATCTTTCCCTCAGCCTTCCTCAAAGGGACCGGTGGCCTTTTACCAGAAGAGCTGTGCAGTGGAGAAAAGGAAATAGTCAGAGCTTTCTGGGACTGCTGGACCCTGACTCTGAACTGACACTAATTCTAGGAGACCCAAAATGATACTGTGGCCTAGCCRTCAAGAATGAGGTCAGGTGAACAATGGAATTTTGGCTCAGGTCTGTCTCACAGTGGGTCCCCTAACCAACTGTGGTCATTTCCTCAGATCTAAAATGCATAACTGGGTAAACATACTCAGCATCTGGCAGAAAACCACGTTGGTATCTGAGACCAAACAACTATGATTCAGGCAGCACAGGACTGGAGGAGGCGTATAAAGTGGTGGGTTTAGGTATCAGTGAGAGGAAAGAATCCTTTAGGTGGGGATACATGGAACAGGTTCAAAGGCAACTTGGCTGGAAGCAGGGCACAGGTGAGCTGTGCTTCTGTTGCAAGGGGAGGGGACATGTTAAGAAAAGGGGATGGGTTGGGCAGAAGAGGCCTTGAGGCAAAGAAAGCCATGATTCAGGGCAACTCACACTCTTTCTGCTCACCAACTGGTGAATGGGCCACATCACCTGACTTGGAAGTTTATGAAGGGGATGTGGATGGTAGTACAGAGGGGGATAGGTGACAAAGGGAATTTCAAGCTAGCAGTCTGGGCTTTGTGATAATGTGGCTACGCTCTGACACCCTGGATGGGTACAAGGGTCTTTCCTCCCACACTGGCTGTCCACGGACTAGTTATCATAGTAACATTCTTCTCTTCCCAATCAGTTGACACTGTTGTCATTGGTTTGCTCTGCCCTTCTGATCTGTTTCATCTCCAGGTGCTCCCCACTGCTTTCACATAAGCTCTTGTTCATTAGCATATAAGGACTTTCTCATTCTAGTATCCAGCCACATCTTCCTGTACTGTAAGTCCCAGCTGTGACTTGGAACAAGATGCTCATGATAGATTTAGATCCTTCCCATGTGCTGTTGTGTCTATGAATGATGGGTAATGATCACCCAGCTAAGAAGGAAAAGTGCTGAGGGGTACCAGAAATACACTGAGACCAAGCCAGCTGTCACTGTACTCATTTAAATAAACACTCATTTAAATAAAAATTCATTTATTTAAATGCCTTGTGTCCAACTATCTCTAGAAAATTGGACAAAATTTATAAAAACTTTATACCACTGCTGCTCCTAATGCTGTCACCACCATCACCAAATTCTACATAGGAATCACTTACTTGGTGCCAGGTACTAGGCAAAGGGGCTTATCCATATTATGTTTTTATCAGAATAATTTAGGGAGATGAGGAAACAGGCGGAGGTGGTCACCTGCTCAAGGTCACACAGTAACATGGAAAAGCTGCTTTTCAGATTCAGTTCTAAGACTTAAAATTCCATGTTCCCACCACTAACTCTCGAAACCTTCAATAAATATGAAATAATTAGAAATTAGGAATTTAGCAACAGAAATGATCAGCAGGTTGGGATGCCTCGCTTACGACATCAGGAGGAAAGAAAGCAAAGAAGATCCTTGACCCTTGAAGTTAAAGCTGATCTTCTTAAGAAGGAGGCTGACCATTGATCATCATCCGTAAAGACAGAGCTGATGAACTGGGCTCCGATGTCTGAAAGGGGCAGCCTGAAGACACATTCAGAAGCAAAGCTTCTGTCTTAACATTGGTGGGGATATCCTGAAAGAAGGGTCAAGAAGGGCCCAAGTCTTCCACCCTAAGTCTGAGGACAAAGAGCCCTGACCTCACACCCAATATTCTTGGTGCAGTTGGATCGTAATTCCTCATTAATCCTGAAATGCCAGAATCCTTGGGGTTCTGTGGGCAAATGGGTCAGGACAGATCCTCCACCGCGGTGGCCTTTTCTTTTCCTGACTCTGGGTAGTGACAGCAGAGATCCCAGGGGCGCAGGCARAGGATCCAGAGTGGGTGAGGTGGGGGGGTCGGGAAAAGGAGACCTAATGTTACATTTCAGGCCAGACAATCAGTAATCTCTTCTCCCCTCATTCCTTCCTCTGTGTCTGTTTCTCTGAGGGTTTCTCTCCATCTCTGACCATCTCGGTTATTTTCCCCAATCTGTCTCTGTGCATCTCCAGGTCTTTCTAAGTGTTGGTTTCTCTTTCTCTGTCTCCATGTCTCTCTGTCTCTCTCTTTCTCTTTGGTCTCTGTGCTCTGTGTATCACTCTTTTTTTTTTTTAAAGCAAGATTCTTCATTCTTACTCTTTAAAGATGACTTAGCTACTTTCTCTCCTAATGACAAGGGCTTGTATGTCTCTCTTTATCTGCAATTCTGTATTCGCCTTCWGTTCTTTCTCCATCTTCCCCTCCTCTCCCCTTGGCCCCGCAGGAGTGCAGCTCTGGCCATGTGCCCCCTGGTGGAGACATTTCAGCTCCTAGAAATGCAACCAACTGCTGCTCTGCTGAGGCACTGCTGTGCCTCCTAGTGCTCCACACATTCATGGAGCATTTGCTGTGTACCAGGTACTGTCAGAGACGATTTACATATATTCCAATCATCCCCACAATAACCCTATGAGTTAGATACTCATCCCCATGATCCAGATGAGAAAATGAAATGGTCAGGTCCTAGGATCACATAGCAAAGACAGAGACAAGATTTCACCCCAGACAGTCTGACGCCCAGGAGAAGCTCCTGCCATCTTAGTCACTATTCTGAAGCTATTTGTTTTAAAACCAACCACATTTTTTCAGAATGCCCTAAGTACCAGACCCTCCCTGAGACATAGGGATGGGTATCTCATTGTGCAGATGAAGAGACCTCCTCAGAAAGACCCTCTGAAGTCACCAGATGGGGAGTGTAGTGGACCCTCAGGAAGGGATCAATGTTTTTCCAGCAGCCCTAGACCCCAGATCCCACCTCTCATGATGYTAGAGCTCCCCATTATATGCATGCAGTGACAAGAAGTCTCAGCTGTTGACATCTGGTCTGTACTTCTCTGACCGTCTTTCTCCACCAGAGACCAACTTCTTTACCAGAAGTGTTATGCTGAGGCACTGCTTCTCTTGCCAGAGGAGCAATGTTAGGAACATTGTTTAACCTCCTCTGGTCTTGTTTTCTTGTCTGCAGAGTGGGGTTAACAATATATATCTTCTTCAGAGAGTTCCTGGGAGGATTGATTAGTTTAACGAATATACGGTGATTAGCACAGAACCTAGKATATTGTAATTGTTCAATAAATACTAGCTGATAGAATCACTGCTATTAAAATCATCATTATTACTGTAGTCAGTGTGATATTGTTGAAAATATTAACCAGATGAAGCCTTTTTTTGTTGTCTCTGAATCATGATGCTCTATGGCTCTCTAACCATTGAATTGGTCCTGTGYATTGCTCCAAGGTGAAGGACAGACACAGTCCAGAACAAAGAAATCATTGCAGAAACAATAATAGTTACAATCATGACCATGGGTCCTGTTGAGAGAGAAAATTCATTTCTAAGTTCTCCATACTTCCTTTAAGTGCAAGATCAGACTTTTCCTGTAAGCCAWAGCACAGAGAGTATACAGACTCTCTATATGACATATTTACAACATAGGCTCCTAAAGAGGGAAGCTAGAGAGGTTGGTGAAATCTGAAATACGGGTTTGCTTATTATTCCCCAGGAGATAGCAGACGCAAATGCCAAGCCCCAGTCTGAGGTCAGCCCAGCACCAGAGCAGCAAGAAACCACCTGTCCATGTAGAAATGGCCACGAAGGTAACCATGCAGGGGCATTCAGGGCAGTCCTGCATACACTTGCCCAGTTCAGAAAAGTGGCTGATGCCCATCAATGGATGAATGGACAAAGAAAATGTATACTATACACGATGGGGTTTTATTCAACCATAAAGAAGAATAGAATTATGCCATTTGCAAGAAAAGGAATGGAAGTTGAAAACATTGTGTTAAGTGAAATAAGCCAGACTTGTAAAGTTAAGGGTTGTATGTTTCTGTCATGTACGGAAGCCACAGAGGAAACAGGAAAGGAAAGGTAGTGGGGGGCGGACGGTCTCATGAAAATTAAAGGGATATCAGTGGAGTAGAGGAAAAGGATTAGGAGGAGGAAAGAGGGGAGGAAAAGGGAAAATAATAAGGAACGCTATTAGCCAAATTATACTGATGTATCATGTGCGTATATAAATATTTAACAATGAATTCCACCATTCTGTGTAATTATAATGCACCAATAAGAAATATTAGGAAGGGCTGGGGATGTGGCTCAAGCAGTAACGTGCTTGCCCAGCATGCACGGGGCACTGGGTTCCATCCTCAACGCCACATAAAAATAAAATAAAGATATATGTCCACCGAAAACTAAAAAAATAAATATTAAAGAATTCTCTCTCTCTCTCTCTCTCTCTCTCTCTCTCTCTCTCTCTCTCTCTAAAAAAAAGAAAGAAAGAAAGAAAGAAAGAAAAGAAAAGATGACTGAGTTCCCAGAATCTGAACACCCATAAATGGTTGAAAGAATTAGTAGCTAGAAATAGTTGTGAGGTTGAGGACAGAGAACCACATAGTACAAGGACGTATAAAGAGTAGAAGATAGCAAGGACCACAGATTTCAACTGTGGGGGCCAACATGGTACCCAAGAATGCTTGCTTTCCTTCAGATTTCCTTCCAAGGTTAAGTGGGAACAATGCTAAGTTATGGACAGCAATGCTAAGTTAAGGGTCCCTTAGAAGCCCTTMTTCTCAACAGAAGTGATGCTCAAGTCAGGATTCTTCACTCTTCCACATACAACTCCCAGAAGGCCACATGGGATTATACCAGACACTTAGGGCCAGGAGCCAGCCAGAGGAAAACATCATCTTGTTGGGTGATCTTGGGCAAGTCTCCACCTTTCTCTGGGCCTCATTTTTCTCATAAGTAGAACAAAATAGTTATGTCAAATAAACCCACATTTTATGGAAATGGAAGATTTCAGATATTCCATGATGTTTATTCTTAGCACACTCAGTTCCCCATCCCCCACTTTCTCCATTGGTAGATTCTATAGCATTGCTTTCCATTTTGTTGACATGCTACTTTGTACTTGACTCCTGGCCTGTAAGTGTGGAAGAGTCATCTCTACAAATAGGTTGCAGATTTCTTGCAAACTGGAGTTCCTGCTCAGTGGAACTCTAAGAAAACATTGCCTAAATATTACAAAGTTCTGACGATAGCTATCATTTATTGGCGGTCTGCTAGGTGTATGGTGTTTTCAAYCGTTTCTATATCCTTCACAATAAACTTTCAAAATTTATTCTATTTAAGTCTGGCTTACAACCATCTAGGGTTGGTTTGATTTGAGAGCCCTTGAACTTTTTACCACATTGTTGTTCATTTGCACCTTTAATATGTATTTCCTGCAGTGCTCAAATGGCTTTCTTTGGAGGTGGGGGCAGGAGAGGGAAAGTCCATGACTGTATCATGAGCATTGTGGGATCAACCATGGGCTCAGGTCCCGCTCAATGGCCTTACTCACCACCTAGGACTTCAGGGCTGAGCACACAGCTCAGCAGCAGGAGCAGTCGCATACTTCTGGATGCCATCTTCCTCATCCCCTAAGGACAGTACTTTCGATACTTCAACTCCAAGAATCTCAGAGTCCTTGTTAGTTTTTCTTTGCAACTCCTAGATTTTCCTAGATCTGCAATCAGAACACATTTGCACCAATGTAAAGGACCCAGGAATTTAATGGAGGAAAATAATATTTTTCTGGTGAAATCCAGATTTTGCAATGAAGAGAATATCAAGTTAATGTAGAGATAGGAAAACTTAATTTAAACGATTTTGTTCTTTCCTGCAAGGCATTCTGGACCAGTGCCTGAGACCTAACTACAGCAGTCTGAACAGTTTAATAGTCTAAATGGAGAAGGCAATTAATAACTACAGGAAAGCCGGTTCCTGTTATTTTCAAGAGAGCCAGCAGAGGGCGAGCTTTCTCAACTAGATAGTGATGGGCTTTCTAAAGTCAAGAAAAGCAAATCAAATGGTTCCAACACTAATGTTAAGGTTCAAACTAAACATAAGGCCCAGCATTCAGATTTTAAAGGTAAAAAAACCTGAGGTCTATAGCTATGAAGTCTCATTTTTACTAGTTACAGCTAGATCTGACTTCAACCCAGCACTTTTTTCCTTTATAGTTTGTTGACATCACTTTTTTTAGTAGCTTTGTTATCTTCCTCCATTATCAAAAAGTATATGTTATGAAAACATCAATGCAAAACCAGAAAATAAAAATTAAATACCATTGCTCAGAACTAAACTATTCAGTGAATAGCCTTACAGACATTTTTCTATGAATCTCTTTGTACAATTTTATATAAATTTCATTATTATGGTTTTGTTTCTCAGAAACAGATCGATTTTAATGGTGTTCTTGTAGTCACATTTCCTCATGCAGTTTTGATTCTCATATAAGTTCACTTATGCCAGGTTGCAACTTAACAGAGTGTGCACATTTTTGTTTTGAAACTCTGCTAAAATTCCTTCTGAAAGGTTTTACCAGGTATTCCACCAGTAGTTTTCAGGGATGTTGGTTTCTCCAACCTCTACACCAAAATCCCACACCCCCCACCAACTTTTTTCCCCCTAATTTAGGTATATTAAAGAAAACATCAGTATTTTGTCACTATATTAAAGTTGCTAATAAAATCATCTTTTTTTATAATGATTAGCTTTTTGTTTTTCTTTTGTGAATTTTAAGTGGACAGTTTTTAATATTTTTCTATTTCATCATTTTTTGGAGGTGGTACTTGACCACCAAGCCACATCCCAGTCCTATTTTGTATTTTGTTTAGAGACAGGGTTTCACTGAGTTACTTAGCACCTTAATTTTGCCTAGGCTGGCTTTGAACTCGCGATCCTCCTGCCTCAACTTCCAGAGCTGCTGGGATTACAGGCGTGCGCCACTGTGCATTCATCCTTCTTTTTGATCATGATTTGTGAGACCTTTTTGTATGTCTTTTATATGCTATTAACAGTGTTTCCCAGTTTCTATTTTTCTCTGGTTCATATTTTTTTTTACCATTCTAAAATTTTCAAAAAATTACATTGTCCTATGTATGATCTCCCTTAGAATTTTTGGAATTTATATCAGACTATCTGACCGTCACTGTTGCATAAGTTTAAAATAGTCATCCTTATTTCCTTCTTTTTCATCTATCTAGGCTTTATGTTAGTGTAAGTCTGAAACTGGGTTCTAGATTTTCTTTGTCAAATAATTATTTAAGTGAATGACCCATTCAGTTTTTATTTGACCATAATTTATGGTAAAAAGTCAGGACACATGGTCGAGCTATCAAAGAATAGATGGCTTAGGGAGAATAGTGGAATTACAGATCTGAACTGGAGACTTTCCTGGAAAATCTAATCTGGGGTCCATATGAACACTTTGATGAGTGTTAACAGGAGAAAAACAAAAGGTGAAGAGTGTGGAACTGTTGTATACCCTCCTTTTTTATTAATTACATGAATACACACTTATATCCTCCCACAAGTAATGGAGTATTATCAGTGTCCTAAAATCCRTTATATGCAAATTGTTAAAATTTATCTATCAAGATGTCTGGGGGAAGAAGGATGCAGCTTTTTAAAAAAAATCAATCTAAATGAATCATTGATGTCTAGTGGATACCTATGCCATGGTATTTAAGTCCCACAATAAGGCTGCATTACTGGTATCATTGCCTTATTTTACAGGTGAGGAAAGTGATGTTCATTGAGATTAAGTCACATTTCTAAAGTTTTACAGCTGGTAGGCAGCAGAGCTGTGATTTAACCCAACGCTGAGAGACACCAAAGCAGATGCTCCTCAAAATGAGGGAGAAAGAAAATAAGCAATTCAAATCAGACAACACAGCAACAAAAAGCATCACCAACCTCATGAGAGCTATGATTTGTAATTTCTAGCAGAGGAAAACAGAAGTCCAAAGAAAGCCCTCTGACCCTGCTTCCATGAGGATTATTACCTGGTTGGCCCCGAGGCTTTGAGAACCCTGCCTTCTTCAGCGTCTCCAGTGGTCCCAGGCAAAATTTCTGGAGCTCTTATATCATCTTGCTTCAGGATTTAATAACCTTTATTTTCATCATAGGGGCAATAAGGTTATTTGCCAACAATAAGCCTTATCTGTGGTAAAAAAAAAAATGAGAGAGAAGAAAATTAACCATGTAACCATGCAAGTGATGGCTTAAGGATAGAGGCAACTTGTGCTTTGAACAGCCAGAAAAAGAACCTCTCCCAGTATGCAAACAGAATCTCTCCTTTATATCCCATGTTATAAAAATCAACAGTATCCTATAGTCTGTTGATAGCCCATCTTCCTCTCCCCTTACTTCACTTATTATTATTTTTTTTGTTCTCTGTCTTTATATTTTTTGTTGTTGTTGTTGCAGATTGCCCGTATCTCCCCTTCCTTTTTAGAAAGATGCCCCACTTTAGCTCCAAAGAATCATGTTTCTATCCTTGCAGACAGGTTTTACCATCAGGGATGGACCTATGTGTCATGACCCATGTGGTTTGCCTTACAGAATTCCCTCTCTGAAGCCCAACCTCCTCTCTCCCAGCATGCATTAGGTTTCTCAGATTTCTACTAGGTGAGTTCTTCCTGTAGAACAAGATTCTGAAATCTTGTTCTTATGCAGGGCAATGATGTCAAAATATCTTTTGTGGATATAATATTTTACAACGGTTTCTCTTAGATCATCAGATGAGATCCTAATAAAATCCCTATGATCAATGTAGGACAAGTCATCCCCATTACACCCTCAAGAAACCCAATGACAAGAAAGATTAGGAAATAGGCACAGGTTCTCAATGCTGGCCAGTAGTGGAACTAGAACCTGGAACCTCTGACTCAAAATATGGCCCTGCTTGCAGAAGCATGGTCTTGTTGAAAAAATAAACTTTTTGGAAAGGGCAACAAGGTTTCCTTTCCAGTGTAGGTGGCAAAGTATTAAACAATGTTGTAGTTGCCAGAAGTCATTAGCCTTGAAGTATGTAAAGGGTCTGTGTGTTTGGAAAACTTAAACCTTAAACCTGGAAAGAACCGTGATAATTATCAAATCTTACTCTACTGGAAAGGAGCTGAGGCCCAGAGAAGGGTCATGAGCTCTTCAGTCCACAGTTGGTTGTAGGTGAAGCTGACATCAGAAGTTAAGCTTCCATGCTCCAAGCTCAGTGTTGTTTTTAAAAATGCTACTGAGCCTTTTTTGATTGTATTTTCCAACCTGTGCATGAAGTCATTATAGGACCTGAGAAGGCTCTGCTTTACTGGTTTACAAAGGATGTTTTAACTTCTACTCTGATGATGCTCTGGGGGTCTGGTTTCCCATGGAGCTTGGCCCCCTTTCATTGGGTAGCACTGAACATGCTATGGAAACTCTCCGAGCCTTGGATTTCACATCGGTATGTGGAAGGATGGTATTACCAGATGAATTTCATTGCATGCACTACCTGTTTAACACAAACCTTTTTCTGTTAGGCAGCTGGATGGGAATCACCACTGCTTCGCAGCACAATGGACAACAAAGAGAGTAACTCCAAGCCTTGTAAGTTCCAAAACCCAGGTCCAGATGTAATACAGAAAAGTTTCTACAGGTTAGGAATTGTGGTGTGTGCCTGCCATCCCAGCAGAAGGATGACAGATGGATCACCTTAGCCAGATCATGTTTCAAAATAGAAAAAAAAATTAAACAGTCTGGGGATATAGCTTAGTGGTGAGGTGCCTCTGGGTTCAATCCTCGGAGCCCAAACAAACAAAAACAAAACAAAAACCAAGCTTTTACAAAATATGTGATTACAAAACAGATAATTTTACAAAGTAGGTAGGTCACTTCCCACTCCACCCTGTCCCTTGCTCTGCTATTCTACGCCACTGTATAAAGATTTCATATAGTGAACAAAAGAGGAGAGAGAAATAGAACAGCTAATAAAATTAGCCATTTCTAGAACTTAAGAAGCCTCTCACTGAATCCTCCCTTGATTAGTTCCAAATGAGGGCATTCATAGAATACAACTGAAACTCCCCCCGCCCCTTCTTAGGGCCTTGCTAAATTGCTGAGACTGGTCTTGAACTTGTAGTACTTCTGCCCCAGCCGCCCTAGTTTCTGGGATTATAGGCATGTGTCACCACATCTGGCCATACCTGAAATTTTGGGACAAGACTATGATGGACTAGAAAAATATCTGAATCAAAAAGATCCACCCAATGTGGAGTAAAATTAGTTTAAAATGAAAGTGCAATTTTCATGAAGACACACTGTATGTGAAATTTAGAAAGCAAGAACCCTAGAAACCACAAATCAGCAAAAATTACGTATAAGGTATGAAAGATCAGAAWGACTCCATAATGGAGAAATAAAATGGGATCCAGGCAGCTTGAGAGAGCTATCTTGAAAGTGTGAAGAGAAGCACTTTGGAATGCTACACCTAGCCAACCAATCACTAAGGGTGAGTATGGGATAAAGACATGTTGAAATCATATGAACTTAAAAGGTTTTTATTTATTGTTTTGTTYAAATTATTGCACCAGTATGTCCTTTGGCAAGA